AGGAGGCAGAGCCAGGCGGATCTCTGTGAGTTCGAGGCCAGCCTGGGCTACCAAGTGAGTTCCAGGAAAGGCGCAAAGCTACACAGAGAAACCCTGTCTGGAAAAACAAAAACAAAACAAAACAAAACAAAAAAAAAAAAGACCAATAACTTTTTATCTATACAGACATGTGACTTACCCTCTCCAGTGCTGCTTACTGAAAAGACCACGCCTTTAATTCCAGTACTCTGGAGGCAGAGGCAGGTGGATCTCAGTGGGTTCCAGTTCCAGGACAGCCTGCCTGTTCTACACAGTGAGTTCCAGGACAGTTAAAAGTTACATGGTGAGACTGTCTGTGCCTCAAAAGAGGGAGGGAAGGTGCTGAAGACCCAGGTATGATTCCCAGCATGCCAATGGAGGCTCACAACTATCTGCAACTCCAGTTTCAGGGGATCTGAGGCCAAGTCCACACCAGGCATGCATGTGATACACATACATAAATACCCATGTACATGCATGTAAGCCTTCATACAGAGAAAAGGAAAAGAGACCATCACTTCCCAGACACACTGCAGAACCTGCATCATAAGCCATTGGCCACAGCTCCACAGGCCTTTCCCATTATACTGTCCCAATGGTCTACTTATTTATTTCTGCACCACTACCACACTGTTTTAACCACTGTAGTACAAAGTAGCACATTAAAACGATCAAGGAGAAAAACCACATCAAGGTGCCAGGTAGCACTGACAATATTGGGTTGGCATTTCTGATAAAAGGGTTCTTTAGGGATGGTGTGAAACAAACCCCAAGGAAATCCATTTGCTCAATCACGAACAGCACAGGGGTATTTCCTTGAAACAGAGAGCATGACTGGATGCCTCCTAGCACCACACATTCCAAGTCTTGTTTTGGAGGTTCTTTCTATTGTAATACATTTTAAAAATCAATATCCAGGAAAAACTGCATACCATTTTATTTATTTGCAGTTGACAAAACTGATTACCTAGGAAACCACGTCCCCAGTAGAAGAGATGTATTAAAAAGAATGCTGACCTCAGGGCTGGAGAGATGGCTCAGAAGTTAAGAGCACTGACTGCTCTTCCAGAGGTCCTGAGTTCAATTCCCAGCAACCACATGGTGGCTCACAACC